TTTTTTTTTTTTTTTTTAAAAAAAAGCAGCAAACAAAACCCACACAAACAAAAAATAAGCAAACCAAAAAGGGCGGAGGGAATCACAAATGCCCTGGAGATTACAGAACATGCTGCAATTCTTGGCCCTTGGACAGATAATAAGGAAAATATGAAGAATCCCTCTGAGATTATTATTGTTTTCTTTTTCTGACCTCTCTCTGAAAATACTGCCCTTGTTGGATATAAACTTGCTGCTTTAGCTGATCTACTAATACTGATTCATGAGAGTGAAATGAATTGATTCCAAATTCTCCCTTTTATTTAAAACTTAGCATACTTTACCACTCTATAGGTGTAAAGGGTCAGACAGTGACTTTTGCAGGACAGAAAAATGAAAGTTGAGGCTGGAGGAGGGGTAGGGAGTAACTTCAGCATGTATGTGTTATCTTCCAAATTGGAACCCTGAATTTCTGGATATATTGATAGTGGCACCACATTTTAGTTACCTCGTGATTTTCTTTATAAATACCACTTTCTGTTTCCTTAATGAAACACAGGACTTAAATTGCCCCCCTTCCTTGTGATTGTCCCTTCTAAAGTCAGATTCTGTAAATGATTTTACTTACACTTTTGTATTTTCATAAAGTGAATTTCCTTCCCGTCTTTCAAAGATTGGTAAAGGCCACAGAAGACTTGAGACCTAATTTTAGTTTATGAATAAGTTAATTCCTAAAAAAAAATAAATCTGTTCTTAAGCTCTCAGATAACCTTTTTAGTGTCATGGATACAGGCAAAAGAAAAGACAACAGTTTGAAGGCTGTGATTTTTTCCCTCTTTAAATCTTCAGAGGAGGAAGGTGAAGGGACAATTGGCAGTTGAGATGGTGACTTCTGGGGGCTTTTTCCATGGTGAGATGTTCTGCTGTCTGCAGATAGGCACCTTGCAGCTGCAAAACTTGGACTTGTGCGTGTGCTTCACCTTGCAGCTGCAAAACTTGGACTTGTGCTGGTTTATAATACCATGCCTGTTGGTTGGTTTGGGGTATTTTTGTTGGGATCTATGGGAAGCGGTGAGGAGGGAGTTTGCTTACCCTGGGTGAATGTTCTAAAACAATGGAGAAACTGTTCTTATCCAGAAATGAGCAAGTAGACACCCTCTAAGGAAGGAGTGAATTACAGGAGCTCATGTGTGGCAGGTATCTCTGGTGGGACAGACTGGTAGGATTTTATTGTCAAAGAGGAACATGGTTGTTTTGATGTTTTTGCTACTTAAGGGTGACTGGTTACACAGTGGTGCTGTTGGTACAGAGCTGCTGAGACTCCTGTGTAGGTGTATCCCGAGAGGATAGTTTACTGA